GCTGGAGAAGGACTTGGCTTCACTTGACGTTTCCAATTGGCGTCAGTTGGCACAGAGGAGAAACGACTGGCGTGCTTTGCTGAACTCGGCCAAAATCGCTTAGGCGGTTACAGCCCCAAAAAAGAAGAAGAAGAAGGAGACTAATATATGTTTTTGGGATCGCTGAGCATGAATCTGAAGTTCGTTTTGCTCCATCACGTCTAGATTTTTTCCTGACCTCAAAAAAAACCTCGGATTTGCTCTGTCACGTAAAATTCGAGATGTTTTTTGAGATTAGAAAAAAATCTAGACGTGATGGAGCAAAACGGACTTCATATTCGTGTTCGTGTGGCCAAAGGAACCTTGCATGGATTTTTTTTTGTGCTCCTGTGTAATCAATGCCATCATGTCCGCACCGTTAGTTTGATCTTCTGAAATGAATGGTCAAATTAAAAGCCTTGGACTGTAGATGTACAATAAGGTTTCGCTTTTTTGAAGAGTTGCCACCTTTTAAAAAATTATATGCAAATTATTAAAAAAAAATAAATCAATTATTACAAAATGGGTATCAATCAAAATCGTTTTGAAAAGCTTTGTTTCCTAGGGTGACAGGTAATAAGGTCAATGGAAATAAGGTCAATTGACTTTATTTCGCACCTTTTCAAAAGCGAAATAAAGTCAACAAAAATTTGGAAATAAAGTCATTGACGCTATTTCCCCATTCAAATGGAAATAGCGTCAACAATGCTTAAAGTATGTCGATTCATAGAAAAAAATGTTGTTCTTACAATAAGCATTGCCCCGTAAGTGTTGTTTTTTAATAGATGAAAAAGGCTTTTGCCAAATCCTCAGTGTTGTGATATTAATCCACACACAATCATGAACTACCTCCAATTGATTCTATTAAAAAAAGAATTTAAATTACGAATATGTAAAAACACGATGCGAAAAACTAAAAGCCTGCGCACAGCTGAAATACGAGAAATATTTGAAGAAAGAGTGGAGAAATGATCCATAACTTGCAAAACATTTTTCGTTTCTACAAAAATAAAGCGAACACTATTAAATTGAAGAAACAGTGCATGTTCAAAAACCCCGGAGGAGCACTGAAAGAATTCTGTGTTTTAAATTGGCATATTTTGAACGAATTCGGAATGTCTAAGGTGGAAAAGAACCCAACCTTTCTATAAGGAAGCAATTATAGAAAAAGAATTTTCTTACACTGTGGTTATGTCTCCGCCAGCAGTCATTTAAAAGCAGCTAAGGAGAACGACGACACTATTTATTAGATGGCACATTCAACGAGCCAATGTGCCAAAATGCGGGTATAAATAATTATTGATTATTTAATATCGCAACCGAGATCATATAAGTTCATTGATTGGTTTTCACACACTTTTGAAACACAAATTATATGCTTTTTTACTGCAGACAAGTTGTTGCCTCAAAACACAGCAGAAATCTTCCAATCAGGGCCAACTCTCCTTAGTTATGAGGTGCCATATTTAGGATAAAAAAGTGCCAAAATGTGCCAAATAGAAAAATAAAAGTTCCAAAAAAGTGTGATTCCTTTTAATCATTTACATTTAGCAATAAAATAGCCTTTATAAATTAGAAAATATGAGTTGAGAAAAAGAAGTGCACGCAAAGGATTTCACAAAAATGTATTGAAATGTTATTTTTTTTACAAAAGTGCCATTTTGGCATTTTGTGCCAAATTGAAAAATTAAGTGCCATTTGAAGTAAAATAGGAACAAATGGCACGGTTTGAGCCAAGTTGGCATCCCTGCTTCCAATAACTTACAAATATAAAAATGTGAAATATCGAGGGCTTGAATTCATTATACCCTCTATCTGCAATTTGCACAAAAACTAATTTGTGATTTTAGAAACCATCTGGGACTTATTACCTGTCGTTATATAAGGTAGCATTAATATCACTGATGACAGTTAAAGCTTATGTGGATTTTTATATCAGAATCTCATCTTTGTGAAAAGTGAGCAGATAGGGGTTATTATTGAATATAAGCCCTCGATTCTTAAAATATATAAAAATTTTATTTCAACGTATACAAAAAATAAATCTACCTGCGCTACAGCACGTCGGGAGACGGGGAGGGGGCCGGGGGGCCGCGGCGTAGCGTGACGTGGTGTGCGCGCCGGTCGCCGCCGCGAAGTTAAGCAAATTTAATGTTTGAAAGAGAAATAAGGTCAATTGATTTTATTTCGTTTTTAAAAAGGTAATAATGTCAATTGACTTTATTTCGCACCAGGGTGGGAAATAAAGTCAATTGACCTTATTTCCGTTGATCTTATTACCTGTCACCTTGCTTATGTATGATTTTACAAATACAGTTGCGAACATTGGAACACAGACAGATAAAAGGAAGGTACCAGAGCGGCATTTCATCATGTGAATTCTTAATATTATTGGCTTATTATTCGTGATAAATATATATGTATGTATAATATATAGTTTGGAAAATGTTATGAGTGGTACCATATTCCGAATCATTTTCCAGAATTCAAGAAAAATTATCAAAACGGTAATAAACAACATTTGCGGAAAGGAAAATTTTTAAAGAACTCTCTTCTTCATAAGGTGGAACCGAAAATCCAATCGTGGGCCTTTTGCATATCTGCTAGCCCTTCAAATATGAATAGCATATATGACTGCCAATACATTTCTTTAATCGAATTAAGTTCTAGAGGATGTTTGGTGCAATGTTATCGAAGCAGAACCATTACCTAATTTTATAAATCTTATGTCGCAGCGCGCAAGGGACTTATAGAAAGGGAAGAATCTCTGCATGATATCATCATAAAAAAAATTTTCTGAATTTTTAATTTTTTAAAAAATATGGTCTTAATTTATTACAACCAAAGTTATGTAAATATTATTAAGTTGCCTAACCTAACCAAAATTTAAAAACGCCTAAAAATACGAAAATGCATGCTTTTATGATAGTCTTGATTTCAATGTCCGGAACTATATATTGGAAATACAAATGTGATTTGACTTAAAGAATGTGAATTTGTGGTTGCCACATCCAACAAATTGTATTTATTGATCAATATTATTGAAGATATAACGAAGATTTAACTTAAATCTACTGCCTTTTGTGATTTAATTTTATATGGTAAATCTCAAAAGATTTAACGTTAAATCTCGTCAGAGGGCTAAATCTTCATTAAATCTCATAATGGAGACATAGAATAACGCGCATCATGAAGCATGCATTTTAGGGTGTGCAGTTTTATAGGCAGTTATATTTTACAGCTACATCCAAATGCAATAAGTTAGTGGGCTATTTTCAGATCTCAAAACCCCGACACTTGGATATATCTCAAAAACTGTTTACTTTTTTGTATACCAATTGCGTATTCGGTTTCAGCAGAAAATTCTTCATAAGAATTCATACAAAAATGTCGCGATTATCCGACTATATCCACAGAAAATTGTAAATGAGTGAGTGCACTTTTTTTCAGATTTCAAAAAGCCGAAACTGGGCTATATCTCAATAACTGTTCCACTTTCTTATAATTTGATTTCGTACTCGGATTCAGCAAAAAATTTTACATTAGAATGCATATAAAAATGTCGCAGGTGGGAAAATTTTTTCATTTCTGTAAACTTTTGTTATTGCTGACAAAAATGCATGACGTTATATTATGGAAAACTTGTAGTCCTTTCGCTACGCCCATTAAAAATTATATATCGCTGGAAAGTTTAGAAAATAAGCTACCGAAAAAAAGCCAAAGGCCGGAGATTGGTACATTGTTTAACTCTGGAAGTGCTTCGCTCTTTTGACCTGCGGGCTTGTTAGTCGAAACGACTAACACCAATTTTGAATTGAAATAACAAACTTAAAAGAGTTAAAAACGAAAATACATTTTATGAATTTTAGTTCTTTATAGTTTTTCAAACACATAAACAAAGTATTACATACATATTATTTTCTCTGTTACATATAATCAACAAAATGGTAAATGACTTCAGAGAGAGGTACGAAGCGAAACACGATTTTTGTTAGTCGAATCGACTAACGAAGCACATCCAGGGTTAAAAAATTCAACAACATTTTTTTATTGCAAAATACACGGGAAAAGTTCTAGTAAGTATGTCAGCAATTTTTTATTCTCAATCATAAATTTAAAAAAAAACGTGTGGCTAAGAAAAAGAGCTGAAAGAGCCGCGGTAGAAAAAAAAAGTTTTTTACTCATTGGTTACTAGTAACCATAGAAACAACGTGGCTATTCTTTTATGTTCCTCCATTTTCGGAACATATTTTTGGCTAGTACTTAGTTACTCGACGCTCAGCGACTATACACTGAGGGAAAAAGAGCCTTGTAAAAATAACACTGATCGTTGACAATATTACATTTTGCAATGTTGAATGATTATTATTTGAATTAAACTCTTTTCTAGTCAAAATAAACATTTTGTAGTTGATCTAAATAAAAAAATGTCAAAGTAACACCGATTCATTGTAAAACTCAATTAACAACGTAACTGATTTCATTTTAACATCACCTTTTTTGTTTTGATATGGTTACATTGTCAAATCAAAGTGGCAATGCAGTTCACCTCACGCTAAATGGCATACGGCTGCTTGCAAAGCAAAAACAAAACACACAGCTAACGGTTATTCGTTTACTTGCTTTTGTTGCGCTTTCTCACTTTCGGCGTCATTTCAATTATTGAACAATTTTATTTGGTGAAGAATATTTGACAAGACTAGTTCAGAGGATTAACAAATTATCAAATGGAAAGCGTGCCCCTTTTTGGTGACGTTATTTATGCGGTGGATGGCGAAATAATTAATATTTCGAATGTGCCATGTTTAAGTAAGGGGGAAAGGGTGATGAAAAGCTTAAATCTTTCTTAAAAGACTTTGAGCTGGAAAATGTTTTTGACTACTTAAAATGTAAGTGATTGTGCCCGTTTTATATTTGTGCCGATTTTATATTTTGATCAATATTGCAGCGGCGAAAGTGACTTATGAAAGCTTAAAATATTTAAGAAAGGAAGATCTAAAAGAAGCTATTCCACCATTGGGTCTTAGAGTGCAATTCCGGGAAAAGCTGCTCATATAGAAAAAGCAAACAGTAAGGCAAATTTTAACATACACGGATGATCACAACTTAGCGAATGGTGACTTTATCTTTTTAAGATTTACAACTTCTTACAAGTTAAAATTTGTCTGCTAATTTTTTATAACCATAACCATATGAATCAAAGTTTCAAACTAATTGCAAAAGTTTAACAACTTCTCATCAAAATTTTAAACTTTGTAACCAAAATTTTTTTAAAAGTTTTCGGTATGCTATTTGTAACCCATTAAATTCGTTTGAGGTGGCTACAAATTTATGTTTATTTTTTTGCAGAAGTTTTTTACCAGTTTTTCTCAAATAACGAATGCAATTACAAAAAATTGCGTCGCATGTTTTATTATACTAAAACTTCATGGGCTATAAAAAGGTATACCCAAAATATTTTGGAAATTCTGGTTGAAAAGTTTGAAATTTTTATGAAAATTTAGTATTTAGTTTAAAACATCGATCCATATGTTTGTAGCTGTAGCATGAACAATATTTTTACACAAAAGTATAAACGAAGTTTTACTTAATACATATTGTGAGTTTAAAAAAATATCTAACCATTGGCTCAGTTGTGGTCATCAGTGAACATAAACGTTGCAAACATTGCAAACTAGCACTCACTTTTGATTGCCAGTGTATATAGTCAGCTTCAAAAATATTAATACCCTGACGTTTTGAAAATTGTGTTTGTTTATATTTTCCATACACCATTGACCATTGTGGTCAGGAATATTATTACATGCCCCGCGAAGGGAAAAAAAATCCAAGTGGAAAATTTTACTATAAGTTTGTCAACTGTCGGCAACTGGCAAAAGACATTTTCTTCCCTCACCTTGCATCGACGACAGTGCATTAAATACCACCTCGTCTGAAGTAAATGAATTAGATGATTCAGTTATAAATGCATTGAAAACGTCACTTAGCAGAGAAAGCGCGAATTGGAACGAAGTTTGTGACAAGTGGTCAAAAACATTCCAAGCCAGACAGTACGATCTGAGAAGCTTAACAAACATCGACTTTTTAAAAGCATGGCCCAAACTATCAGATTCAAGAGCACCTGAACTGGTATTTAAAACATACATATGTACATATATATCGTCGCTGCGCCAACAAAAACCATTATGTGATTTTTGTAAATTTCTTTATTGCATTTGTTATTAATACTTTCTATTGGAAACATTTCTGCATTTGCGGTTTTTTATAACTGTTTGTGATTTAGAAGTGATCAACAACAATGTGCTCGCAGTACTAAAAATACTCTGTAAAAAATACATTTTTTTTTGCTCTCCTGAAAAGTTACATATGTTGGCGCGGCGACGATATATGGGCATACCTCTGGAACTTTTCATTTTATTACTTTTGATTTTTTTAGTATTTTTTATTTTATTAATATTTTTTGATTTTTACTGTTTAGATCAAAATAGATTTCAATCTCCTGTATCCATCGAAGCAAGACTTGTATTCAAAATGGGAGCACTTCAAATTAAACATTCTGCGCTTTTACGAAACTCGCATAAGTAATGAAAATTGCAAACAAATGTTTTTATTGGCAAAGTCCTTAAAACACATAGGTAACTAAATTACATTTTTTCCTTCGTTTATGTTTACTAATAAAAATACTTTTAGACACTCAGGATTGCCTAATTTCGACATTGCTAATTTCAGTACTGCAAACCGCTTCAAGATTTGTTAACACTACGGGAAAATTTACCAAGAAAATCACTATTGTCGATGCACAGGAGAGCTTCATATTGCGTCAGGAATCAGTAAATGACTATCAAAGAAGAGTTGACGAAATCATTTGCAAGTATTATTCTGCTAAAACAACGATTCAGCCATTTTTAATAGTAGTAGGACCTGAAAATGAGCTTAAAGATTTTTTTTAGTTATTTTGACAATACGTTATACAAATTCAACTCATTTATTGAGAGCTTAGACTTGTGCTTTAAAATATTTCATGTTTTTTCCTTAAATATCCTCAAGGATGTGAATTAGTGTGGGTCTTTATACAAAACTACTTTTATGACATAACAACAGAGTTCGATTCCAAATCATAGAATATAGTTTCACTTATAAACTTCTTAAAAACTGCTTAGTGCTTAAATTGTTATTTAACGCAATTTATAATTTTGCATTTATATGTAATTTAATTCTGGACTGCCAATGTTTGTTTGTTTTAAGTGTCGTAAAAAATTTTCTGAATCAATGGTTTTAATTCATCACTTTAAATTTAATCATTTATTGACAACAAAATTTCTAAAGCTTAAATGTGTTCAAAATGATTGTAATCAAGTGTTTACTAATTTTTCCTCCTTTAGAAATCATGAAGGTGGCTTAGAGGAAGAAGTAGAATGTGGTACTGTCAGACCTATAAATTTAACAAAAGTTGACTACTTTTTAAAAATAGTACAAACTGAAAACATTGATTATAGAAACGTTAACGTTTTAGAAGAAGCTATATATCAAGGTACAAAATATAAAACCGGTTATTACTTGGCTTACAATGACAATGGGCTAACTCTATGTAAAATATAGAATTTTCTGTATCAATCCTCAAATCTATATGTTTTATGTAACCCAATTATTCTAAAATCATTTAGTTCCCATTTTCAATCATATGAAGTGGGAAATAGAATTGATGAAATTCGAATTATAAAAATATCACTTATTGTAGAATTAAACAGACTTAACTTTTTTACATACCGTCATGCTCAACTAAATAAGTAAGTGACATTTTGGCCAGTTTGGCTATGTTTCTCCTGTTTACAAAAATAATAAACATTAAATATTATTTTTGTAGAAAAGTCTAGCTCATTATAGAGTGGCTATTATAATAATACGCCACATATTGACAAGTTTTGACTAAAATTGTATTCTAATTTTGATTATTATCTTTTTTTAATATAGCTTATTCTTTAACAACAACCGTATACTTCTTCTTCTTCTTATTTGGCGCTGTAACCGCCTAAGCGATTTTGGCCGAGTCCAAAACAGCACGCCAGTCATTTCTCTTCTGTGCTAACTGACGCCAATTGAAAATGCCAAGTAAAGCTCGGAACACTTTGACGACTGCAACTTCACGACGTAACGA